TAATTATCCTTGTCAGAAATATTTACCTGGGCTATGTATCTGAAGTATGTATTTGAACTATTCAGTCTGCAAGGATTTATATGAGTGTCTTAAGTCGAATTATCGATTTATGACTGTCTATTAGGGTTTGTGTGTTTGGATTGCTCCTCGAAGAGGGGTAGGGACATTGCGCAGAATCCACGTTTGATGCGGATTCAGAGGTGAATGGAGTGACCGCTTTCTTGAGATAAGTATTTCTCAGGGAGTGGTCAATGTGCAAGGTCTACCCTGAGGAAAGTTGCAATTCTATGTTATCGGTCCCCTGTGAGATGGCTTTGAAGAAGTTATAATCTTGTCTTGTAGGTAGTAGTGAGATCCACGCCGGAACTAAGTTCCTGGTCCATTGTGGGGTGGTGGTGTTGTATTTTCTGTGATAAAATAACTACACTACTAGTGAAAAGGAGGAAAGTATTTGAGTCTTGTTAGACCTTGGCCTATGAGGGAAGCAACTACTACGTGCTGCAAAAAGGTAGGGGGTGAATCCCCAACTATTTTTGCTGAGGCACTTGTGCGCTATAGTGCAGGAGAAGAGCGCTGGCTCGAAAGCTGAACCAGAAGGAAGAAGTGTTGGGCGCTGACTGCAGAAGAGGCCATAGTTGCGCCAGCTTGTGTTAGTAGTAGTAGAAGGGTTAGTAGTAGGATATCAGTGAGTAGCATTCAAAGTAGATTCTCGTAGATAGAGACTGTGCATGCATGTTGAGACGAGGGAACTAGGATAGAGATCTTGAGAGAGAAGAGAGGGAGAGAGAAGACAGGTTATGAAGTTGGATATGGTGGATACTTACCTGTTGGCGTCATACTTGTGATCTGAGGGGAGACGCTGGCTGAGCCAGACCCTTTGTTGACGAATGTTGTTTGGCACTGGACTCTTGAACTCAAGATACTCTTCGTATAATGCGACTTTGATAATATGAGTTGCGCTATCTGGTTCTCATTCCATCTCGTCTTGGCTTTGTGTAGGACTACTTAATCTGTGTGATGACATTTAGCATGCACCGTGAACACTCCAGCAAGCTGTGAACAGTCAGGTTCCTTGCAATTTGGTATCGGAGCAGAACTGGTTGCGCTTGCTGAAGTGCTGGCATCAGCAAGGTCGGCGACGAAGATATGTTGGCTTGAAGATGCTGCCTATGGTGAAAGTGTGAGAAGAAAGGTGGTTGGGAATAGGAGGGGGAAGTAAGCCGAAGAGGAAGGGGCTAAGGAGGAGATTGTTACCTACGCGTGGAGCGATTGGAGCGAATTGGAGTGGTCGTGGAGTCTACTTCGACGGCTACAAAGCAGAGAAGAATCTCCTACCCCTTACCTGGCTGCTTGTGGAGTTGTGTGTTGTGTACCTTCTTCTCCCTTCCTCTCTGGTGGTCGCTGCTGCTGCTGTCTCGTCGAGTCACCTGGTATACAGTCTGGTCGTCAAGTCAGGGTAGTAGAGAGGGTCCACTCAGAGTCATCTGGTCCCATCTTCCTGACATCTGGTCTGACGTCTGTGCTGGTAGGAAGTAGTGAAAGATAGAACTAAGGTAGGGATCTGTAGAAACTCCAGACCATACCTAAAACTGTAGAGAGGGTCCACGCTAAAACGAATTTAAGGCATAAGTGATCTAGACGAATTTGATCTGTACTGAGATACTATCCAACACGTCTGAATCTGTAGAAACTTCAGACCATACCTGCACAGAAGGCCAGACATATTAGTAAAATAGAAAGAAGATAAAAGAAAGGAAAACAAAACCAGACATAGTCAAGACAAGTGTCAGAAGAAATCCAGGCGTATTGAAGTTGAAGACAGACAACAAGCAACGGAAAAAGAAAAAAAGTCCTATTGTATATTAAAGTTTTAAAAGTTCTAAAATTCGTCATTTCTGAAGCAGCGATATCCAGAGTTTGATAATAAAAAAAAAAATTCATCCACGCTAGATTAGTTCAAGGATAATTAGTGGTGGTCTTACCTGGTGGGACCAGCGGAGGGGTACCTGTGCTGTGTTGCATCATGGACGACTACCCTATGCAAGGGTTGTTGGCCCTCTCCCTTTTGATGGGCCCCTTGTTTAGAGTCTTCTTTCCCCTGGGCTTCGGGAGGACATGCACCTCTCGGATGATGCTGAGATATGGCACTGCGAAGCCTGGGCCCTCGGCTGCAGAGCAGTCTGAACTAGATCGCCGCCTGGCTGAAAAGAAGAAAGAGAAAGAAGAAAGAGTAAGAAGAAAGAAAAAGACAAAAAGAAGAAGAAATAAAGAAGAAAGTGCAGATGGAAGAAGAAAGAATGAAGAGGGAAATGAAAGAAGAGTTAGAAAAGGAGTTGAAAGAAGAATTAAAGACAATAGAGGAAGAAGATGAACTTGCTGATTACAGGCTCATCAGGCGACGGGCAGAAAGGGGAGAACCTAGCCAGCCAGGTGGGGAACTCCAAGTCAAACCGCTGGATTGGTATGATCAATATGCATATTCTAGCGATCGAATTGAAGAAACAAAGGAGGAAAGAGATGCGTTCGTTGCGAAACTGGCATCCATTAAAGATAAAAGGGAAAAAAAACTCTTGCTGGAGGAAAAACGTGCGGAACTGCATATTAAAATGTTAGCAGCGAAACGGCAAGAGCTTGACGAAAGGAAAAGGCTGCAAGCAGAGGGTGCAAGGCTACAAAGAGAACTGCAAGACCAAAATGATAAACAAGCTGCAACAAAAGAAAAACTAGCTCTCTTGACGGAAACAGTTCTGCATACAAAGCAAGAGCTAGAAGCAATCAACAGAACGTTGCAAAAAGTTGAAACCCACCAATATGAGTTTGAGGGAGTCTGGAACACCTTCCTCCAAAAGTCCGCCAAAGATGTCGATCAGCATATACAATCATATATTCATAAATTAGATGATCACATCAACCAAACCTTTACTCCCGCCGTGATTGAAAAGATAATTCGTGGCAGCGGCGGAGGAGTAGGAGATGGAGACGGAGATGGGGGAGATGGTGACAAGAAAGGAAAGGAAGTGCTGCGAGAAGACAGTGAAGACATAATAAAAATTAAAGTGTCGTGGACCTACACCGGCAAAAATGAGAAGAGTGTTTTGCATTGGATTGTTGCTGTGGAATCATATGTATACGGACAACGCATCCCGTATTGGGACAGAGTCTTGATGGCCACTTCATATATGGCCGGCGATGCGATGAGCTTCGCCATATCGTTGCAAAAAGAAGTTAATTGCCAGACTATGATCGAATATTCACAGCAAACAAGAATCGAAGACTTCTTTAAGGTTGTTAGAGAACGATTTGAAGATTAAAATCTGACTCGCCGAACAAAAATGTTGATCTTAAATATTGCGGATCGGAAATGGAAGAGTGCATCTGCACTCAAAGCAACGATGAATGGACTCTTACAATGCGCTGAACATGGTCTTTCTCCTACTCAGATCCTCAGTAACTTCGCTAGGGCACTACCCGACCCTCTCTGTACTCAGCTTTATCCCTGCACAAAAGAAGAGAGGATGACATACGAAAAGTTCAACAAGATCGCTATAGATCATGCTGGCTTCTTAGACGAGGCTAATTATTGCCATTACTGGAAAGATCTGCAAGCGGGTAAGAAATGGCAAAACCGTACCATCTCAGGGAACATACCTGGGAAAGACAATCTCCTTCTTACCGTTGAGGAAGGAGGTGTCAAAACTCTCTCTTACGACCAGATAGATTATGGTCTGGAGGGAAGACCCAACGGTTCGGTAGTTCAGGAGGGGGACTACGTGGCCGTTGCAACCTGCAGGGGAGGGTGACAAGGAAAAGGACGTGGCCGAGGAAGAGGAGGCCGCGGACGTGGTGGAAGAGGACCTGGTACCCAGAGGGGTGGTGGCGAAGGTAGCTACTACGTGGGTGGAAGGGGCAATGGTCCCTCCCAAGGTGGTCGTGGTTCGTATTCTACCTGGGGAAGAGGAAGAGGCGCATGGTATGGTACATGGGACAAACCATATCCACCCCATCCAGGTTTGCCCGAAGGGGAGCCTTGGAAGAAACTGGGGATTACAGAGAAAGTTTGGCAAGATAAAAAGACCGTCGATCAATGCCTCAAATGTGGTGACCCCAACCACATCGTTCCCTTCTGTCCCGGCTACAAACAACCAAAAGAGAACAGCCAGTAGAGGTTCAGTTGCCTCTACCGGAACTTCGGATGTAAACAGAAAAACATCCTCCCATCCGAAGGTTCCTCAGGCAAAAACTGAAAAGACAGACGGTCCCCACCTAGTACACTGTCCAGAGGTAGTAAGTGTGTGTACCTCTCTAGGTGGATCCCTCGTTGGAATGGGTGCTGAGTAAGCCGCTCGTCGCCAAACCTGGACTGAAATGAAAAAACGAAAATGACAGTTAATAATTGCAGATCTAGAGATAAATAAAGTAAGAGTTGGAGGAATGATTGACAGTGGGTCAACGCGCAGCTATATCAGTAAGAAAGGATTGCAAAAGCTGCGACTCGGGCTAAAGGTTAAACAGTTAGATGAGCCCGTAATGAGTAAGCTAGCTAATAGTACTATAACTGTGATGGATAGATATGTTGAAGGGGTCCAAATATGCTTTCGGCTCGAAGCAAAGGGGAAGGTGGAACACAATCTCCACTCTCTGACTCTCTTGGTGGAAGATAATCTCCCTTTTGACATTCTTTTAGGCATGGATTGGGGGGAAGCTGCAAATGCGGATATAAAGTTAAGGGATCATGAGTGTTGGCTCCCAAGTCCGCAGGATGGAAAGAAGAAAATCCGCCTATTCCATGAATTTGGTAAAGATAACAACTTGGCTTATTGTTGTACGAGTGTCCCCGCGTTCGCCCGCCATGTGAAAAAGTATAACTTATATGATCAAGTTTTTGTCGCATATGTGCACCCAGTGAAGGAGGGTGAAGCTAAAGAAGAGGTCAAACCCCCAGAGGTTGAAAAAATTCTAAAAGAATTCGCAGATGTGGCAGAGGCCCCAAGCAGTGTAATTGAGAGACCTATCAAACATCGCATTGAGATTGTACCAGGAAGTCAGATTCCTAAACGGCCTATATACCGAATGTCACCCAAAGAATTAGACGAGTTGCGAACCCAGCTTGATGAAATGCTGGAAAGGCCCAGCTCCTCGCCCTATGGTGCGCCAGTACTTTTTGTAGCAAAGAAAGATGGCGGGGTCCTCATGTGCATAAATTATAGAAGATTGAACGATATAACAGTTAAGAATGCTGAGCCATTGCCGAGAATAGACGATTTGTTGGATAGAGTGCAGGGTAGCAAGTACTTCACTAAGATTGATTTGAAGTCTGGCTACCATCAGATTGAGGTAGAGCCAGAAGACCAATACAAGATTGCCTTTCGAACCAGGTATGGGCACTATGAGTTCATTGTGTTGCCCTTTGGTCTTACGAATGCCCCTGCAACTTTCCAAAGAACTATGAATGAACATTCTCGTGAATGGCTTGATAAATTTGTAGTAATATATCTCGATGATATTTTGATTTTTAGTAAAGATTTAAAAGAACATTGTGAGCACCTTCGACTTGTGCTAAATAAATTGCGTGAGGCAAAGCTGAAATTGAACCCCAAGACGTGTGAATGGGCTAAGCATCAGGTTTTATATCTAGGGCATGTGCTTGATGGTGATGGAATCAAACCGGAAGACGCAAAGATTGCAGCAATTCGCGATTGGCCTAACCCCCGCACTTTGACTGAGTTGCGGTCGTTCCTTGGGCTAGCCAACTGTTATCGGAAGTTCGTTAGACACTTCACGATAATTGCTGCTCCTCTTCACAAATTGCTAAAGAAAGAAATGATCTGGAAGTGGGACTCGGATTGTATGGCTTCGTTCAAGCGTCTAAAAAAATGTCTAATCAATTAATCCGGTTTTGAAGGTTGCAGACCCTTCTTTGCACTTTGTCGTCACAACCGACGCCAGTCAGTATGGGATAGGTGTTGTACTCCAACAGGAGGATGGGAATGGATACATGCCTGTGGAGTTTATGTCCCGACGACTGCCTAATGAGAAGGTCGCTGCTGCTACGTATGAGAGGGAGTTGTTTGCTCTCCGAGAAGCTCTGGATCATTGGCGACATTATCTCTTAGGACGCCACTTCAAAGTGTACTCAGATCATGAGACGCTTCGCTGGCTTAAAACGCAGGCCCGGATGACACCTAAGTTGACTAGGTGGGCCGCTGAGATTGATCAGTATGATTTTGAGCTAAAGCCAGTTAAGGGTAAGTATAACATTGTTGCTAACGCACTAAGTCGAAAATCCGATTTCTTCGGTGCCATTGTAACATATCTAGATGTGGGCACCGATCTACAAGAGAAAATTAAAAGTGCGTATTCCACAGATCATGTTTATGGCGCTATGATTAAGCGTATACGAGAAGCGCCTCAAAAGTTTCCTAACTATCGTATTACACAAGGACTGTTGTTTGAAAGAACGGATGTGCATGATAGACTTTGTATTCCAAATGTGGAAGAGATCAAAAGTCTGATATTGGGGGAGTGCCACGACACTGAAGGCCATTTCGGGTGAAAAAAAACTTATGTGAATCTATTACGTTCTTATACGTGGCCTCGCATGAAACCCGATTGCATCACATATGTGCAGGGCTGTCAAGTATGACAGAGAAATAAGAGCACTACTCAGTCTCCCCTCGGTCTGTTGAAACCTTTGCCAATCCCAACAGGTCCAGGAGACTCTGTGTCCATTGACTTCATGGACAATAAGGTGAAGAGTAGGAATGCTAAAACGCAAGTGATGGTTATCGTTGACAGGTTTAGTCAATATGTTGTCTTCGTAGCATTGCCAGCGGAAGCAAAAACGAAATTGGTAATCCGAAAATTCTTCAACCACTGGGTGAAGGATTATGAACATCCCTTGACGATTGTGAGTGACAGAGATTCACGATTCACAAGTGAACAATGACAGCAACTAATGAACATTTATGGCTCTAAGTTGACAATGTCGTTAGGACGACACCCTGAGACAAATGGCCAGACTGAGCAAATGAACAAGATTTTGCAGAGACGTTGCGCATGTACATACGTCCCGACCAGGTTGATTGGGACGAGCATTTGCCCAAAGTTGCTAGTGCCTATAGTAACTTTGTTCACCTGTCTACATGCAAGACTTCTATGGAGGTGCATTTGGGATGGCGTCCGCGCAGACCTATCGATATCTTGAACCCGGATCAAGCGCATAAGCTTCCATTAGGAACAAGTGAATTTGCGATACAATATCAGAAAGATATTGAGAAGGTGAAAGAGAATATAATAAAGGCACAACATCAGATGATAGAACAGGTAAACAAGCACAGGAGACCTTCTCAACTTGCTGTAGGTGATCTAATATGGGTTAAGTCTAAAAAGTTCGTTCCTGAAGAGAACATCTCTCAAAAGTTACTACCCGCCTACAAAGGACCTTGGCAAATTTTAAATGTGATTGGAGATGTGGATGAACCTTCTTATGTGATTGAGATTCCTCTGCATTTACATACATATCCAGTGTTTCACGCCTCAAAGCTCTTACCTTGCGTGACAAATGAGTTATTTCCCAGTCGCAGATCGGCGATACCTCCTAGTATGGATGGGAAATATGATGTGGATAAGATTGTTGCTGAAAGTACTCTTCAGACTAGACGTAGAGGCAGACCCCAGCGACAATATAAAGTAAGATTTGCATATCAGGACCCCAATGAAGATCGCTGGTTCACAAGAGAAGAATTGATTGAGTCTGCACCTCATATTGTGTCTGCTTACGAAAGAGCCAGAAGAGCAGTAAGCATAATAGATAGATGAAGGTTATCTCAAAGGACTTCGAAACTAGGCCGATGAGAGTAAAAGGGCCTTTACCCGATTCAGACCCTGAATGACGAACGCAACATTATGGGGTCACTCGGCCAAAGCCTAACTCGTGAAAAGCAGATCAAAAGACATGTTCTCTGGGTCAAAAGTTACATCCTGACTAACGTAAAAAGTCATGTCAAAGGTCACAGTTGTGCCCCTGGACGAACAGTTGCAGTATTCAATTGTGGGAGTCACATTTGTTTATCCAGGGGATGTGCAAGTCATGTATGTTCCTGCAGTAAGTGTGTCTGTCAAACAGTAGGTGTGTCTGTTCATAAAGAAGTCAAAGAGATAAGGTCCCAGTCCAGATTCAAGTCAAAGGGAAAGTCTAGATACAGATTGGAAGTCCGAAATTCAGGCCTGAAGGCCGCAGCAGCAGCAGACCTTGAGGATAAGGAACTGGGACACACTCCACAGAGGCCTGGGACTGGGAAAGGACCTAAGAAAGACTGGATTCAGACCTCGCAAAGGGAGGCCAGCACTATAAGAAACGAGGCAGCCTCCCCACAAAGCAGATTCTCCATTGGCATTGATGCGTGGAAGTGCTGAGGCACTTGTGCGCTATAGTGCAAGGGAAGAGCGCTGGCTTGAGAGCTGCGCCAGAAGGAAGACATGCTGGGCGCTGGCTGCAGAAGAGGCCATAGCTGCACCAGCTTGTGTTAGTAGTAGTAGAAGAGTTAGTAGTACGATATCAGTGAGTAGCATTCAAAGTAGATTCTCGTAGATAGGGAGTGTGCATGCATGTTGAGACGAGGGAACTAGGACAAAGATCTTGAGAGAGAAGAGAGGGAGAGAGAAGAAAGGTTATCAAGTTGGATATGGTGGATACTTACCTGTTGGCGTCATATTTGTGACATGAGGGGAGACGCTGGCTGAGCCAGGCCCTTTGTTGACGAATGTTGTTTGGCGCTGGACTCTTAAACTCAAGATACTCTTTGTATAATGTGACTTTGATAATATGAGCTGCGCTATCTAGTTCTCATTCCATCTCGTCTTGGCTTTGTGTGAGACTACTTAATCTGTGTGATGACATTTACCCATGCACCGTGAACACTCCAGCAGGCTGTGAACGGTCAGGTTCCTTGCACACATACACAAAAGCACACATAAGGGGAAAAAAAAGAAATACAGAAAAAATCGCTCCTCGTCGCGCTGCCACGCAGTGCTATTTGGGCCTTCCACACTTTACCTTAGCCCTTCCCCCCTTCCCGTCCCCCCATGTTTCCCCCATCCATGACATGTACCGCTATCCCTCCCACTCTTCCCCTTTGTCACTATACCATCCTTACCCGTTGACTGTCCCTTCCCTCCCATGACGTTGTGCCATGCGCCCCCTCCTCTTCCTCCAACTCCACCCGCGCTATCGCTCTGCACCTCTTCAAATTATTTCCTCCCCTCGTCCTACTGTGGCTTCTGCTGCCCTTCTCTCCCCTCCTTTCCCCAATTCTCACGCGCCCCTCTTCATTCTCCGTCTCTCACCAATCCATTTGTCTCTCTCTCTCTCTCTCTCTCTCTCTCTCTCTCTCTCCACCTTTACCTGACCTCTTCCCTTGCTCTGTATCCCCACCCAACCTCTACCCTCCCTCCTCCCATCTGCCCTCCCTCCGCCCGACTTCACCCTGCCGTCTTTCCCCTTCCTCCCGGCCTCCTTCSACTTCCTCCTCTTCCTCTTCACGCTTTTTCCCATGCTAGTCTCCCCCTTACCTCTTCCCTTCCTCCATACATCACTCAACCTCTGAACTACGTTCTGCTTTCTGTCCTCCCTTCGCCCTACTTCTCCCTGCCTCCCTCGCCTGGCCACTTGACTCCCTTCCCTTCGCCCAATCTCCGCCTGACCTCCTTCCCTCTATCTCCTCCGTCCTACTCCTTCCTCCGCCCGATTTGCACTGACCTCCTCCTTCCCCCAATCTCCTTCCTCCCCTTCCTTCCTTGGCCCCACCTGACCTCCTGCTTCCGCCCTACTCTCTGCCGCCTTTCCCCTCCCTACAGGCCTCCTCCGCACATTCTCTTCAACCTCCCTTTGGCCTCCGTTCGCCTATTCCCCTTCGCTCGCCCCCTTCGTTCGCCTTATCTCTATCTGACCTCCTCCTTCCCTCAATCTCCTCCCTCCCCTTCCTTCCTCAGCCCGATCACCACCTGACCTCCTACTTCCATTCATCCCTCCGTCCTACTCCCTACCTCCCCCTTCCTCCCTCGACCGGCCGCCCTTCCTTCGTAACGCCCGACGTAAGAAATACTTCTTTTCCTTTATTCGGTGGACGTAAACGCGCCATTTGTTATCAAGATCGCTCCATTTCTTTTAAGATCTCAACACTGTTGCACACGCGCAAGAAGGAGAGAGGGAAAGCAAAAGGAGGGAGGCGAGTGGGCGGCGGAGGTTGGCGGAGCGGGAGGCGAGTGGGCGGAAGCGATGGGCGGCACAGGTTGGCGGAGCGGGAGGCGAGTGGGCGGAGGCGACGGGCGGCGGAGGTTGGCGGAGCGGGCGGCGAGTGGGCGGAGGCGATGGGCGGCAGAGGTTGGCGGAGCGGGCGGCGAGTGGCCGGAGGCGATGGGCGGCGGAGGTTGGCGGAGCGGGAGGCGAGTGGGCGGAGGCGATGGGCGGCGGAGGTTGGTGGAGCGGGAGGCGAGTGGGCGGAGGCGATGGGCGACGGAGGTTGGCGGAGCGGGAGGGAGTGGGCGGAGGCGATGGGCAGCGGAGGTTGGCGGAGCGGGAGGTGAGTGGGCGGAGGCGATGGGCGGCGGAGGTTGGCGGAGCGGG